GAGCTGAGTAGGGTGTCGGTTGAGGGTTGCAGGTCTAATGAAGGTGTGGGGGTTCAAGAGGGGGTTGAAGAGGGGATGGTGATGAGGGTTTAGAGAGGGCTGATCGATAAAATTATCCACTCACATGCGGCTGCAAGACTGGGTGCCAGCAGGGCTGTTGTCCGCTGCAACTCATGCAAATTCATGTCCCCGCTGCTCAGCACCATTGGCATGGAAACAAGCATGTATACGATAACGTACGCGTGCGCACGTCCGCGCACGAAACAAAGCAGACGTGCTCATGCATCCTGCCAAGCATGCGGCACGCATGCTGCGCGCGCACTGCCGGCCCACCTCCATCCACTTGTCCCGCAGGTGCTGCAGTGAGTCAGCCCTGGTGACGTCATACACGTACACCACCCCCTGGGCGCCCCTGTAGTAGAAAGGCGTCAGGCTGCTGAAGCGGTCCTGGCCCGCGGTGTCCCACACAGAAACACCAATCTGAAGGGTTAGCCGGGGTGCGGGTGCGGGTGCGCACGGGGGCGCGGAGGCCGCGTGTCGGGAAGAGCGGCTGTGGCGCGGCGCGCGCGAGGGGCGGACGGGGCAGGCCGCGCCGAGGGCTTCGGCGGCGCCCTGCACCGCAGCGCTGAAGCCAGGGGGGGGGGCAAGAAGGGGTTTGAGGCAGTGCAGCAGCGGTCAGGCTGCGGGCTGGTGCCCGCTGCCTTTGAGCTCTTCCTGTTCGTAAGGGCCTCGCGGAGACGGCTAGCTGTTTGCCCCTCAGAACCCAGGCGCGCGCCTCTCTGCCGTCGATTGTGAGCCGCTTGAAGCGCTGGTCGGTGCCGATGGTGGCCGGCATCGTCGGGTCAAAACGGTCGCTGAACATGCGCTGCGGGGGTTGAGAAAATAATGCATGCTGAGCGACACGGGACAGGAGGGGCAGGCGGCGGAGGGTTGGGAGGCGCCGCGCAGCCGCAGGAGAGGGCGCTAGCCGGCCGCGGCGGGCGCTAAAAGGGGCAAAGCACGGTGGGGAGCGATTCGCCTGCCGCCGCCGCGGGGGATGGCGGTGGCCGGCCGGTCGGCTTTGCTGACACTGCACGCAGCCTTGGCTTGGGCGGCCGCCAGTGTGCAAACGCGCAGCCGCAGGTCGAGCCTGCTGCGTACCTCGATCAGGCTCGTTTTGCCGACCCCTGAGTCCCCTACGAATACGATCTGCGGTAAGGTCGGGGGTTGGGGATCGCTGCATGTTGCAGTGAGGCGGGGTGCGCACCTGCCAACTGACTGTTGGGCCCCGCATGCGGCCGACTTCCCAGGCACACGCTGTCACCCCCACGCGGGTCAAGTATGCACAAACGTGAAGGACTCTTAGGTTTGCGCCAGATAAGGGCCAGCTCAGGGGCTGCTGCGCTTGCAGGGCAGGCCTGCATGGAAGCGCCGGACGCCGCAGCGCTGGCGCCGATGCGCCGACATTCTGTCCCAAGAAAGCGACTGCAGTCCTGATGCAGCCGGACCTTCAACAAGACTTCAGGTCCCCCATCTTCACTCTCGCTCATTGCCGCTGCTTAGAACTAGTCTGCTGCCCTTAGGAGCGGACACAACCGGATTGATCTAGTGTACGAAAGCGCAACTCTATGTATGTGAATTTCAACCGTAAGCGCTTTCATGTGCGGCTGCTCTAGAATCTCATAGGTTGGCATACGCTACCTTTTGGAGCAGCACTTGCTGGTTTTTTGTCACCCGAGTTACACATGTGTCTTGCAGGCGCTCTCTATTCAAGCTTCTAGCCATCGTTATCCGAATCATCTTGATCAATCCAATCGTCGCCACACGTACTGCGGCGGCGAAGCCATCAGGACCATTGGCGTCTCTCATCGCAATGACAAAGCCGAACGCGCACTTGGACAAGGGGGAGGCACCTGCAGATCTTGATGTTATTGCGTTGGACAAAGCGGAGCTTGGCGGGTGCGCAGCGCGTGGACCACTTCGTGCACAGTGTTTTGGCGGCAACCCAAAAGGATGTGCACACAGTGTGGCCGCCGTGCAACCCGTGGCGTGCCGCACACCCTGTGACGGCAGACCATACTGGACTCACAATTGTGCTGTAACGTGCGAACCGTCAGGCCGTATAAGGACGATCACCGTTTGGGCCGTTGCGCCATGAACACATGGACCCAGCAACCCATATTGACCCTGACGCGCCGCGGCGATGAATCACGCCGCTCATGAATCACACTCTCATTCGTCACCCGCACATTTGTGCGCAGCGCCGCGCAAGTCAAGGACGCCAAGGCCGTAACCTTGGACACGGGCGCCGCCTCGGACGCGAGCGGGAGCGGCACCAGCAAACCCCCACCCCCGCCGCAGCCGGCGGCGCTGCGCGTGCTGAGGACCGTCGGGCGCGTCGCGGCGGAGCAGTGGTTCCTCATAGGTCTCGGCGTCGCCATCGGGCTCGCGGCGGCGGTGCCCAACCTGGGGCGCAGCGGCGGATGGATAGCGGCAGAGTACTCCATCAAAATCCCTGCCACAGTCCTGATCTTCATCATCTCGGGTAAGGGCCCGCGGAAAGGCGGCACGCCCCTGCGCCGGCGGCGGCAAGGGCGCCAAAGCCACTTCGCCGCGCCGCCGCTGCTTTGGAGCGCCGCCAGAGCGTTCGCCTCCGCACTCAAAAGGCGTCAAACGTCCGACGCCTCAATATTGCATCAGCACAATGTGGGGGATGCAGCACGCCTCGTGCGAGCGGCAGGCAGGGATCAGCTGCTGCGCTACAAAGGGTGTTTAGCTGCCCCATTCAAGACCATCACCCTCAAATTAATGACCCGTTTGAACCCGCCCGTGCGCGCGCGCAGGCATCGGCCTGAAGACCAAGGCGCTCCTCGGCGCCGTGGCCGACGCCTGGGTGCACGTCCGCGTGCAGGCCATCTCCCTGGTCGTCCTGCCCGCCGTCGGCTACGGCATCGCGGTCGGCCTGCGGGCGGGGGGCTTCAACCGATACCTCGCAGACGGCTTCATCGTGATGGCGGCCATGCCCACCACGGTCAGCACAAACGTGGTGTTCACGCAGCGCGCGGGCGGCAACGAGCCGGCGGCGCTCGTCAACGCGGTGATAGGTGGGCGGCAGCGGCTCGTGGGCAGGACGGCGAGGGAGATCGGCTGCGCGGCGCGGCACGGCGTGGGCGGGGGGAGGGTGCGGGGACGGACGAGGGGTCCCGCGAGCCGCGGCACATGTGCCGAGTGCGCCGCCTCAGTCGCATGATCACGCAAATTCGTCTGTCTCTGCATCCGCGGCAGGCAACATCATCGGAATCTTCATCACTCCCCTGTGGCTCACGCTGTTCTTGAATGTGAAGGGCCAGGCCCCTTACGCCAAGGTGCGGCTCGCCGGCTCTGAATGATCCCCCCAGCAAACACAACCGCGGGCCATGGCAAATGCCTGGGAGCACCCCCCGCTGCCTGATGTTGCCTGCACCGAGGATGCGCCCAAGGCCACCGCAGCGCCTGCGCCCACCCCGTGCGCGACTGCGCACCTCGCCCCGCCCGCCCGCCTCGCTTGCTCTCGGCGGCGGGG